GTTCCTAAGTCGAGGAGTCACAAAAGCAAAGTTTGTGGGGAATAATAGCCATTTTCTGTACTTTTGAGGCATAAGCAATAAGAAAATAACACTACCCAGCAACAACAAAAAAGTGTTTGTTACACAGTGTAATATAGGCATTGTCTTTTAAAATGATTGGCCTACACCAGATACTTCTTTATGGCCCAGTCTCACAAGTGTCAAACCAGAGAACGCCAAAAGGCGAACAGGAAGGATAAACCCTATTCTTATTTTTCATTCAGAGGAGTCTCTGTATAAAGGAGTAGAACACATCGAGAAAGGCGTATACGGTATACCCATCTTACACTGCACTCGGAGGCATATTGAGACCTTCTAGATTTGAAGCTTTCGTGACTGCAAGGATTCATATTCTTAGGTTTTTTCGGTAAAGTCACGTAGGTAAATTATTTTAATTAATAAAGGTAAAATAAAAATAAAATCACGACGTTTTGGAGGCAACACAAGCTTCCGTCTTCAGGTGGAACCGTCACAGCACGATTGCTGTATCAAGTGAGAGAAATTCCAAGAAAACAGTCCTTGTATATATACTGGTTGAGGGTGAGAGGAGCCAAGGATATTATTATTGTGAGGTTCGGTGCGGCTGAAACCGCTGCTAGGAATGAGCCTTTATTGTGTAGACTGGTTGAAATTGGAGGGTCCAAGAGTTGTTAAGGTGCAGCAACCGCACCTTTACATCAGCTGCTACCCACTTGCGTACATTCACGAGGGGTTTTCAAACCAAGTCTTTCAAATTAAATCCAAAGGCAAACGTTCCGCACGTAACGCCCAAAAGAGGTGTTCCAGAACTGGTGTTTCATACACAGAACGGTTACAGTCAAATATTTTCATTTGATTGAATCATTCCAGTCCGCCAGTAGGTGGCACTGGAAGAACGCTGACAAACAGTGGCACAGAATAATCTCAACTCGAGACCCCTTGAAGACGCCGGCGGTGGAGCCACCAAGCGCATCAGAACATCAACAGCTCGATGCCCACGTCTCCTTCGTGAATGGAACACTAAAGACTCGAGCCGCAGGAGTGCGACTGTGGCCACGCGTCCCAAACTGCGGACCAAATAGAGGAAGCCACTTTAGTCTGTGCTACTTCTACGGCAGAGGAATGGCAAAAATACGCGAATTCTCTTCTGCTGAAGCCCGATCGCCGTGGCGAGCTGGCAGGTAGTCGACAACGGCATTGAGCACCTCAACATATTGCTGCAAGCATACGCAAGAAAATAAAATATGTGCCACTGTATAACACCAAGACATCACACACAAAAGCGCTGCAATGCTATCATCCATTGACATGTGCAGAGTTCAGGGTGGACCATACTTGCCAATCACACCCTAACCCTTCTCACTTTTGTTCAGTTTTCAGTCCCATCTGCCTGGATCCGCCCAAACGCAGCCGCGTGTTTAATTAGCAATGGCTCCACGTACGTCGATGCTGTAGGAATCAATTCGGAATCCATTATATATCCACTGCAGAAGTAACATTTTTGTTGCCGTGCGTATTCATGCGAGTTTGGGTCAGATCAAAAGTTCTGAAGCGAGCAGCGTGGCCCCCCCGTGTCGATGTTCGAGCCGGCCAGGCTGGGAATGAGCACCCGCGTGTATGTAGCAGCAATGTATGTGGGCTGAGACCCCGTGGTGTTGTGATGAACGTGTTTGTTGACCTTGCGGCTTCCTGCACGGCTCGAGCAGTCCGAGGCTGACCGAGACATTGGCGGAGCCAGTGGGGGGGTGGTGTGGCACGTGCCCCCCACCCAATGATCCGATCGAAATCCCTAATTTCTATCGGATCATTGGGGTTTATTAGTAATAAATCGGCATTTTGCGACCCCCACTGCCACTGTGTAGCATATTATTACGTGCCAGGGACTCTATGAGATGGTAGGACAATAGTCTGAGTCCATAATTGGCAATAAGTAACGGCAAAGCCGTTATAAGTGACTCAGAATTGTGCGCAGTTGCGTACACAGTACACGACTTCCCTGAAGGCAAACACTTTCAGCGAGCGCGATGCTGATCACACAACGTGGTTCGAATTCGACAACTCGATCGATGGCTGCGCCATCGCCACACACGCGTCGAATAAAAAGCAAGAGACAACTCCTTACTTACTAACTCCTTACTCACTAACAACTCCTATCATTTTTCATTGCTGGAGGGGGGGTTGCCCCTCTACCTGAAAATCCTGGCTCCGCCATTGCACCGATGCACGTCGAAGTTTGCTCTGTGGACAAAGGTGGCAACCCTCAGAGCGAGCGAGCATTGTGCACGACACCTGGAGTTAGCTTCAACATGTAAACATTTCACGTATAAGTATCACAAAAAATTCCGGAATTTAATGAGAACTTTAGATTTTGAAATGCCAACCTGCGCCTCTGCTCATTTTGCTTATTGGTGTTTCGATCTATCAACATGTGTAACTCAATAAAATACATTTTTTTGAAGTTTGGCGCGGAGCCCAGCGGTAGCACGCTTTCCGCTTGTTATCCGGGTTTTCACGGCTCTACCAGCGGCCGCCCTGGTCAATACTGCGGTGTGCATTAACCGTATACGATACGGCACCGTCTGCGTCACAAAGAACGTTAACTATCCCATGACGTCATTGGCAAGAGTCGGCCACAGTGTGCCACCGCCAGGATCCAGGGGGCACGAGACTAAGGGAGACTTTCCTGGGTTAAAAACCCCAACTCCCTAATAATAATAAAATGGAATGTATTAAGCACATCCAAACGTGTCCGGAGTGATAGTGGTCATGCATGTCAAGAAATGACCCACGATGGCTTTCAGAAGCAGTGTATGTTTTATTAGTAAGAAAGTGCATGCACTTAGTCGTCAGCAAGCACAGCATACAAACCCGACAACGGGTAGCGATATGTAAAATTGTAATCCATTACAGTTTTTGTCGATAACAGGTTTGAAAATTAAGGCAGATTCACATAGGTGAGTCATTTAAATAAACAAAGAAACACTTTTAAGGTTAAGTAGTTTGAATTATTAACAAAATCATTTCATATACCTCGTGAATAATAAAACAAGACCCCTGAACCATTACAATACTGCTAATTAACACAGTCAGTCATTGGCGTACAACACGAAGGCTCACTCACTGCCGAACCACCACGGAGCAGTCGGCACGGTGCCGGCCTGCGCGACATGGAATGCTGTGGCCTGGCCTGGAGGTCCCCAGTGCAGCTGAAAGCAAACACAGGGTACCAGACACGCAGGCTCCGCTTCTCATAATCCGTTCAATGGACCACGGCTACACATCTACCAGTCAGTCAGAGCGCGCACGGGAAACGCACATTGCTCAACGTGCGAAAGGTTTAGCGTCGGGAGCTCCCGGCGAGGGAATGCGGAAATTTCAGCACTGCCCTCAGGGCCGTCAATGGAAGGGGCGTGTCGCCCCAACGCTTGGTTGAGCATGGTAACACTTTGGTATTGACTGGCAAAAATGAAAAACGTGGATATTGAGGGCGTGAGGTCTACAATTTGAGAATCGCTTACTTTACGCGCAATATCATACCGCTACCAACGGAAGCTGCTTATTTTGGCAGAGCAGGGGACAGCGGTTTGGCAAACCGCTGACAAACATGCGGTTTAACTTAGCCTGCTCATTGAGAGAGGGCAGCCGTTACTGCGCCATGCGGAGGGAGAGGCTTTGTTCACACGTACAGGACAGAGCAGGGCCGTGTAGGCAGGCTGAACGGAGGCAGCAGCGGGTAGTGGTGACAGCCTCGGCCACACAGACCATCGCACCGATGCAGCAGGCCCTCCCGTCTGTGCATATGAAGACGGAGCCCTACGTTCACGTACAACCGTTCGAATTGACGAATATATTTTTTCCCTTACATGCTTTTAAACAACAACTCAAACTTCCCAGCAGTGTTCTTCAAATACTGAAGACATGGGAAAGACGTGAAAAGCCTGTTATTGTAAACAGAACTTTAATAAGACTTTTGGGTGATTACATTTTTTGCCTATAGTGTAGAGATTTTTACAGACACCCCAGGCAAAACCCCCCCGTTTAAAGCTCACAGGAGTGAATTGTTACGGTATGCCATACAAACTGCTCCCAATTCTATATTCACGTACTTGCAATCCAGAATATATAAACAGTGAACAAAGACCAGATTACAACAAATTTCAGTCTGAAACAGCTAGCAAAACAGTATTCACATTTCATTTACATTTTAAAAAGATAATTTCCTTCGCCCGATGAAAATTACACCTGACCTTTTAAGTTCTGAAATCCTTTGTGAAAGGAATACTTTGGTTACAAAATAAAAATTGTACACGTCGCACTTAAACCACCACTTCAAAGCTAGACTACACCTTGTCAATGTCACAATTTCATCTCAAATACGTACGCAAGAAGGTCGTGACAGAAATGAATTGTCACAACATCAAAGCAAAAGGAATCCATTAAGGGGCAACTTTATTATATTTATGCCTTTATTTGTCAACAAAGATATAACATCTCACGAGAATAAACACATACGCGCGCACGCACACACAGTGCAGAGGCAAGGGGAAGAATCGGTGACTTTCCACCGAGGACTGCCCTATTGCTCGGTCATAGTCCTATTGCCCAGTCCTATTGCTCTAGCAGCCCTCCGGGTGGAATGCAATAGGACTGGGCTATTGCTCTGGACTGGACTCCTGCTCTAGCAATAGGACTGGGTTCCTACTCCAGCAATAGGACGGTGCTATTGCTCAAGCCACTTCCTTTCTGTACATGATTAGCTCCTGGGGGCTAGACGGACATGTTGGCACGTCTGTGACAGTGTGGAAAACATTCCAAGTGGCTTCTCCTTCAAGCAATGTACACGTCTAATAGTCTAGTGGTCTTCACCCCGCGAAGGTTGCGTGGCAGCTCTGGGATGGCGAGCGTTGCTTGACGAGTCCGACGATCTTGCAATGTTTTGAGCTGGACTATCGGTGGGTGCCTTGCAAGGGTGGGGGGGGGGGGGGTGGCAGTCTCGATGTGAAGGCACCAGTTTAGTCGACGCCCTCGAAGCCCTGCGCATTCTCGATGGCTATGTTCAGCTTCTCCCGAAGGTCATCGAAGGACTCGTACGGTGGCAAATCCAAGCGGTTAAAACTGGGGAACAAATCAGCAGACAGACGCACGGCGAGGACCCAGTCAGCAGAGGGGACGTGCGAGCACCCTCAACACGACATGCAGAAAGTGTTTTCGCGTGACGCGATACTTTTGCTCAACGGATAACATTGCTCCACTACTGTACGCAATCACTGTTTCTTTGCCAAGGTGCAGAGCGTGTCGTCCCAGCCACTGGTAGGGGACTTATACGGCGATCGAATTACCCACGAATCATCAGGGATCAACAAAGAAATAATATTGGTCGCGAAAGCCTACGTGTTAAACTGAAGAAATGGGAACACTGACAGATCCCTTGGGCACATTCAGATGAGAGGAGCATGGATGAGAGCGCCAATGCCCATGTAAAGGTGAGGAAATCTAGTCCTGGCGTTGGCGAAGACTTACCATGTGTGTGCTCGGGGTAGCTTTTCTGAAGTCGACCACATTTCAATGGTGAACAGCTGAGGTCCGTTGGAGCCTAAACGAGAACCGCGAGTGCACAGCGTCGGAATGTAATCGGAAGTCGACAGAGTATATTCACGTTAGTTACGCGCGTTTGTGTATTTATTCGGAATTTTATTGGTCGAGTGTGATGGTGAACAAAGCACAATCAGAGCACTTGGCCAACAGGGTTGGTGGGTTCATCCAGACATTATCATTCCTGCCGGGCTATGTGGTGTCAAAGTATATGGGGAAGTGTAGCAAGCAGGTTGTCGATCTTTTTAGACAGAATTGTTGGCCTTTCCCCATTCCCCAACCAAGTAAATGTACACTTTATCCAGATACTCTGACAACACAATGGAGGAGCCGGGACCCATGAAAAAAACCATCCTGATAAAGGTCATCCATGTTTTCTTGAAGGCCAATTCCATAACCTTCTTGTCAAAGACAAGAAACAGCCATCACCTGAACTGCAGGCTCGTACTCACCGCTGAAAGCAAATAGGGTTCGTTTAGGGAGCCCACTTTAAACTGGACCGGTAAACCTTTTTAAAGCCGAGGCGGAGAGTTCCAAAGGGAGGCAAGGTGGCTGGGACTGGTTGTCGGGAGCGGTGGCAATGCGGGCCAGACGACGGGCACAGCCGTATCCCCACCGCCAGTCGGCGCGTCCGCCCCCGCAACACTCACGCCCGCCCCCCGCAACACTCGCCCCCGTAACACTCGCGCGTCTCACCGTAGAGCTCCGCAAAGCCGTTCATGGGCACTCGAGACGTCCCTGTCACAAACTGCAACAGGCGGATTCGCTTCTCCCCGTCCATGAGCAGCACAGCCTGCACGCATGCACGCCCGGTCCACACGGCCAACGCTAAAAGCCACGCACCTGCGTGCTTCTCCCACTCGCTGTGCATATTTCAAACAATGCAAGTCGTTGAAATAAGAACAGCTCTTCTAGCTTTAGACCGATGACATGTGCCAATCTGTCCAACGTGAGTTTAAAGTATTGTAGATTGCAAACATTACTTTCCTTTCTTGTATGGAGGAAAATATTACTTCCTATATGGAGGGCATATGCTTGCCATGCTGTGGGTGGAAGGGGCACCACAGGAGCAGTGTTTGCTGATATGTTCTAATTTTCATCGACAATGATCTCACGTCCTGTTTGTGCCTCCAGCTCAAACAGCTGACCTCTCAACATCTATGCGTCGGCACTTGGCACTGTGCCCCAGCCACAACTGTGCTCCTGTGCAGTCCCAAAGCAGTGTCTCCTGAAGCAGCCAACCTCTTGGAACAATCGCAGAAACTTAGTAGTATAGTTTCTCCTGCCTACAGGCACAATAAATGCACGTTCATGGCAAGACTTTTTATCGAGTAGGGCATAACCACGTGTTCATTACCCAGATGAAATATCTCGTCAGGATGTTGCACTTTGCCCGACTTTATTGTTTAAATAATCGGCAGAGAAGCGTAAGCCCACGCCCGTATGGATCATATTTAGAGTTCCCGTGACTGGTTGTGTTTTGCTTTGTTAAACAACATTTGTTTCTCCTTCCTTTGTTTTGGTTCGTAGAATAACGTAGCCATGCTTTGTATATATATATTACCTTTGTCAGGTTCCCTGTTCCTATAACGTCACCAAGAGCTGTACCGTGTAACATCCGCACACGGTCGCGCGACGCCCATGAAATACTGTAGAGGCTCATGGCTCATTGGGCCCATTCCTTCTGAAATAAAGAAAATCTACCCGAATCTTTGCGCAGCGGCCACCAGCAAAACCCGGGACCACGGTGCTGTGCGCGGCAGCCTCAGTAGGGGGCACTGCGCCCGCACGGACCGGAGCTGCCGTTCACGAGGGTGCCGGGGTCTGCACAATGTTATACAAAGCTCCCCATCTCCCAAATATAAAATTAATCTTCTTTCGACTGGATTTCTTTCCCCGCCTTAGTGATATATGCATCTGAGATTATATGTCTTGCGTAAGTATGGCGAACATTTTCAAAGGTGCTTCTTCTCCTGCATGTTATGCAGGAAGAGTACCTTCATGATTAAAACAAGTACAGCACAATGTTCAACTTGGAGCATCCTCGGTGATGCAGGCGTTTCGAGGCAACACGTTTTGTCGTAATTTTTCGTTACACAGCTTACAGGCAAGCTTCGTGAGATATCAGCAAACAGGGGTCTCACCTACTGGGCAGCACTGCTCATTAGGCCAGAATCGTGAATGGAAGCCTGCACTACCCGCAGCCTCAACCAACAACTTAGAAGGCCTGAAGAGGGCGACTCACAAACGTGGCGGGGACCGGTCTCTAAACATAGACTCGTATTGACACGTCGCCCAACGGTATATCAAAATATCTGTTCTTCAGCTGCGCGGCATTCCTGTTGCAAGTACAAAAACAACACCATGTCCCCTCTAGTGCATCTATATTAAGCGCTCGCGAACATTATTGATGGGGCGAATTAGAATACGTTAGCGCCGCATCGCTCGCATTGGGGTAGTGATCTACCGCAACAACAGGAATTGCAGTTCTACTCGTCTGGGACTCTCACCTTCCAGAACCACTGGATGACGGGGTGGTTGGCACAGTAGCTGTTCTTGTAGATGGTATGCTGCCTCCAGTCGTTGACGTCCACGTCGCCCAGCCCGCACATGAGTAGCTGGCGCGACACGGAGCAGGGTTAGACGGAATTAGAATCAGAATATTTATTTATACTGGAGGAATCCGATGAGCTATAAAGCTCCTTTTCACAGATGTCCAGTCGGGGCACGGGGTAAGAACGTTACTAGAAACATCACAAAAACACGATAGGAGTGCAAGGTACAAGAAAGGAAAACAGATCACCAAGACATACAAATACAACACTAAACCATCCCCATCCCGAGGTGTTAACTTATTGTTCAAAAGTGACCTAGCCACAGTGGCCTATCATTTGGACAGATATAGCAGCAAAATAATCTAAATAGTCTAAACGCATTTTCCTAAATGTGGAGGGAAAAACTGGAGGACCCGAAAAAAGAAAAACCCATACGACCACGGGGAGGACACGCAAACTCCCGAGCTTGCTGCATACCAGGCGAGGTAGTAAACATCTCACCACCGTGAAGTTGTCCACTCATTCAATACCCCACCATAATAATCCCAACTTCGGCACAAAAGCGTCCGCTCGATACGCGACCGGCCACGCCGACGAGTGCTTCCGTGGAGACACAGAGCCAAGGTGATTACATTTGTGCCCTCTCCTCCACTAACCTTACTTCATAAAAGTGCTCACACTCACATGATCACCATCAGCTATTGCATTTTTACTGCTTAAATTGAAGACTCTGCACACCGTCGCCATCCTTCACGGTTCTGCGACGCTGCAGTCCATCTCACTCCCTATGCACAACAGATACAATCCTATATATTGTGCTTATTGGATGTAATGGTGGTGCAGCAGTTAGCACACCGCACAATGAACCTGGCTACCCAAGTTAGATTCCTGTTCTATGGCTAACATGAGTGGCGGGCGGTATCCGACCCAATCCTGGGCTCCCAGTTCACAAAGCCGCATGGAGCAGCGTGGTTGATGCGTGGTCATCAAACAACCACCAAGATCAACAATGGCGTGGGGAGGCCTTCATCCAGCAGTGGATTGACCAAACCCTGTGAATGATGCACTTGGAATTAAATTAGCACCGTTGGCTACGCACAAATGTGAAGTGATTTTTTGTTTTTTACGACGACCACAGACTACTCATTCTCGTCCAAGTAGCGCTCATTCACCCGGTGACCTTGATATCATTCAATTAGACACAAATGTAATATCTAAGTGGGTATCTACAAGGCATTAGTATGCATTATAATACGGTTAAGAGCTTTCATACGAGCTGCTGCTCATGAAAATTAAATATGATTGCCGAGGAAGACGAAGCATTTAAAGAATATAGTTGCGAGCGTAATGGCCCAGCGCTGCCACGATGAGCGAGCGACAGTGGCCCGGGGTAGAACACGAGCACGGTTGGTGTCGAGCATCGTGGTTCAAATCCTTCATATAAACGTGCCGTGTGAAGCATGCGGCAGGTCGTGACCACGTGATAAGGTTTACGACTGGACGATGCATGATTGTGTGTGGGTGGGCGAAGTGGCACTATTAGTTAAGTGTTTGACTCAAATCCCGATCACGTGTTAACTCACCACATTAAGCCTTTTGAATTGATAAAAAAAAGAGAACTATTTTGTGAGAAGTCAAAAGTTGGGGCATCCTACAGACACAATGGCTTCCCTGCCATAGGAATATGGAATTTCCACCACTGGCTCAGGGCCGGCAATGGACTTGAGTGCCGCCCCATTGTTCGTTTGAGCCATGTGCACGCCCTGACCTCGTGCACGAGGAGTACATTGAGGAGTCGCAAATGTTGCCAAGTGCCAGCAACACACACTGCAGGTTGTTGCTGTTGTTGTTTGTTGCACTCCGAGGTCGAGGTTGGAGTCTAAAACAGGTTTTTGGAAGTGTACCCAAACACACATCTCACTCCTACCTCGAGCTCATTTTCGTCAAAAATCTTGATGAGGTCCATGGGAATGAGCTCGGAGAAGCCCTAGACACAGACACAACACAATTATACTCACAATTTACAGCGTTTCACGAATAAGAACAGAAACGTGTGACCATTGAATGTCATTGAAAACACCCTGTGTGACGACTGTGAATGTTTAACATCATGGGTGTAGTTGTTAGTGAGAGACCAACCTCCATGAAGGCATTTATTTGCTTTTGAACTCGTTCCACAAACCTCCACTGGATGACCAACCTGGAATGCAGTTGCACACACACACACACGGCAAATAACATACACTTTAAGCACAACACATGGCGCAGAGCCGCACATTCGCAAGCTCACGCACAACCACCATGCATATTTTGGCCTCTGTTGGGTCAAGAAATGAATGGCTGGCAGCCCTGTGTGAGCGTTTTCTCGTGCCACTGCTGGCCGAAGGCACAGGGCGAGAGTGCAAATGTTGAGAGCCCTCTCCAAGGTATTCTGGCCGACTCTCCCACGCCGGCCCGACTTCTTGAAAAATGTTAGAGTACCCACACTTTACCCCGCTGCACGCAACCTGCTGATCTGACTTAACTCTGCTGTGCCCATCTACACTGCTGACAGGACTGAGGCAGGGGAAGGGGGATTTTAAGAACCTCGTACCGTTGTTTGACCGGCTGCCCCACAAGATCGACCCTAACCCGACCACTTCCGGAGTGCTCAGCATTACGCACTGGCAGACATCTCCCCCTTTACTTGTGTACAATTAAACAACGAACTGGAATGTTACCTGATAGTGCAGTTAGAGTAACAACACACCAGCAACAATAAAAAAGCATTGCACAGCACGTGCGTGGCCTGTTGCCGGCACACCACAAACAACAATTGGAGCATTACAGAGGCAGCAGGGATCAGGAGGGAGACTGGGAGGGGGGTGGAGACTGGGTGGAGGAGCCTCATGCGTCATATCTGCTGAAGTGAGGGATTATTATAGCGGGGATTGAAAAAAGTGGACAATTTTTAGAATTGTAAGTTTCCTATTATTGTATTGCCTATAATTAGGGTTCAAGCTTTAGCAACATATTCCTGTATACAATGCAATTGGGATTTATATAGCATCTAAATGCAGCTGCAGATCAAGACTGCACAGAAACAATGGGCATATTTATTTTATGGATAGAAAGGCAGTCAAGAGAACAATAACGGGAAGGCATACATTACACGTTGATCGAGATCCAATTTAATGCACAAGCAAACGTATAAACGAGAAAGACGGCAAGGGGAGACGTTCTGTTACAACGTTTGTTTGCTTGTTCTTGATTATTTCAAAGTGGCTTATTTCGAAGTGCTCCAAAGTTCAGGCAGGTTTACACGATTAAGGTTCAAACACCCAAGATGGTCCAGAATGGAATTTTAAACAAAAAAACATCATAAGTAGGTCATCAATATTCCATCAGCAGTTACGAGGCCTGTAAAATCACTGGACCTCTTTACAAGGTCGATTTTCTTTCATGGATCATAACGTTTTTTGGGCACAAGTTAATTCAGACTCTATAATAATACGTTGTTTTGTTTCCACAATTTCTGCAACCCTAAAAAATAAAATCAATGGGGCTTTGTGAAGCCGAGTTGGTGCATTCACAGCCTTCCACTGGCCCTGCATGCCCAGGCAAGGGAAGGAATGCAGCGCGGTAATTCAACACTCACTCAATGTACTCCTTTTTGTTTTCATTGGTCACCAGAATGTCAGAACCGTTTGGCTTCAGCTCCACCAGGTGAGTCTGCAAAAAAGAAGGCAGGCCAACACAAACAAATGGTTATTAACGCCAGGTCTACATCCGTGAAGCGAATCACTTCCCCCGTGCCTTGGGGGACGCGCTCTCATTTCCATCGGTAGCTTGGTGCCGGCGAACACTGCGGAGTCAACTGTTGAGTCACTTAAGTGGGCAGCGACTTTTTTTAAGTCGCAAAAGGTGCTCAAATTCCATGATCCGTTAAAGTGCCCAGTGCACTGAGATTCAGATGTACACCTGCAATGAGGCTATTCGTGGTGCATATTGGTTAGCATGGACCCTGATAGAAGGAATTAAATGGGACTCCCCCCCCCCCCCCCCCTCTCGTTCAATTTCCTCGCACTCTGGAACTTTTGTTCATCAAGACTAAAACTTATTTATATCGAGAAACCATTACAAATATACGTAAAAAAGATATTTCAAGATATCATCGTTACTGGATTTCAAATAATAATTGCGGTCACTAATACGTCCACATTTAACTTTGTCCATTCTATACTCTTTGGTCCTTTCGGTAAAGTCACGTAGGTATAAAATGAAATAAATAACGACGTTTCTGGCACAACACAAGCATCCATCATCAGGTGGGAAAGCATGGTCTGCTGCCGAGGCAGATGACGGACGCTTGTGTTGCGCCAGAAACGTCGGGATTTATTTTTATTTTCTACCTACGTGACTTTACCGAAAGAATCAAAGAGTATGGATTCCTGCAGTCACGAAAGCTTCAAATCAAGATTTGTCCATTCTCTTGTCACTGCCCTGACCATTATCACGACTGACTGTTGATTTACGTCAGTGCTACTGTCATTCTAAACGAAGCGTTGCTGAATTATTTGAAGTATCAATAAAGATAATGATACCATTATTATCAGCCTTTATGGAGGGTAGTTTATTGGTGTGGTAACCGAGCCTTTGAAAACTAAACATCAAAGCACTGTGAATGTGTTATGAATTTCACAATGCAGCTACTGGAAATGTAATATTTCACTTCAAGGTGTTTCTTCGTTAGATGCATTTTGCAACCGTAATGTTGAAGTATGTTGCCAACGATTAAAAAAAATAATTCTACGGAAATATTAGCCTTTTTTAATTTTGGAATTACACTGCATGTTAAAATGCTCTAATGTATATTTAATCACTTTTAAAATTAACACACTGACCTGGTAACATAATACATTTTCAAATCTAGGCCATTACATGAAAGGTTTTGTACTATACTGCAGTTATATTATAAGCCTTGAGATTGATGGCAATAATGTCACTACCGTATCAATTTCAAGCCACTGGTATAATCCTGACAGATAAATTACAGAGGGGAACATGGCAATTTACGTGATGAAATATAGAGGCAGACAACAGCGGGATGGGAGTTATTTTCTCCTCCTGAATTTGATAAAGGTGACAGACCATTGTGCCCAAAAGAACAAAGTTTTCAATCGGTGCACAATACCTTCCATGACAATGGATTCGGGGGCAGTAAACCTCCTAGCGCTGTGCGGCACGTCAACAACGGTCGTCCACTCTCCGTTGCCAAAGGCGACGGGGGGGTGCTTCCCCCCCGGTGCTCGTCCGAGCGAGAGAGACGGCCGCGCTTCACGGTTCCCTTGCGAGTGTTGCTCGCCGCACTCACCTGGCCAAACATCTCCTCGTCGATGCAGAAGCGCAAGTCGAGGTCTGCGGGGTCGTTCTCCAGGATCCACATGAGCGAGTTGTAGTACTCGCTGTCCTGCATGGGCGGGCGCTCGCACGCGACACGAGCGGAAAGATCAACAGCCGTCCTTGCGCGCACGAGCCTCACCGAGTGCACTCCTCTTAGCGCCGGCGTGATCGTCTACTTTGCTTTGCACCTCGTTCTTATGAAACAAGTGGCCGTGAATCACATTTTGCGGCCGAGTTTTGTTCCGTCCCACCGACCGACTGGAATCTTGATTGACAGCTGGATCGTGACCGAATCACACGAATCGATGCAAATGAATCGACGAGACGCACCTGTCATGAAACTGGTTTCAAAACGAGCCATAGTAGAAACGTGCGTACTCTACCCTCCAGTTGGTGCACGCTCACATCCACTCATGCGCTCCGCGATGACGTCAGCTTATCAAAGTCTAGTCAAAGGTCAAGACGGGTCAAGACGAGGAGCACGAGCGCTGCCCAGCTGACATGGCCCATGGCCCACGGGTCACGCGAGGCCACAAGCGCACAAGGCCCACGGGTAACGAGGCCCCACAGGCACACGGAGCGGACACTCACCACTGACTCCATGTCGTTGAGCGTGATGGGCTTCTGCAGCATCATCTTGTAGAAGGGCCGGATAAAAAAGCCTTGAAGAGACAAATACTTCACGTTAGGGATGGCTGAGCAAGCAGCAAATAAAGTAGGTTGTTAGTTTACGTGCTTATTCAGAGTAACATGGAATGGCTTAATTCTTAATCTTGTACACACCCAAGAGGAACTTTATGCTATGGTCAATGGCCATTAGGAGCTTTTTTATTATTATCAAGTGCAAGTGGCTATAACAATTATATTGGGAATCGCTCAATTATTTGAGGACAAAGTACGAGTCTGCATTGGAGCCTGCCGAGGGCTGGTGCTTGGTAATTTTCTATTTTTGTTTCAATCACCTCAACCATTGTTGATTTTTTTATGGCAGCATGCAAACACGACACACGCCCTACACAGCGGCACGCGTGTGTAGCGGACTAACGCGCGGCGTGTCTGTGGGGAATGAATGCGACAAAACACCTCAGAACTACCTCTGGCGTCTATATTTCTCTCTTGCCATGACCCTGGCTGCTGCCAAATGAACGGTTGTATTCAAAACACAAAAAGCAACTGGGGCGCAGAGAATTGACCAAAAACTCAGAGAACACTCCGTCAAATCGGAACAGGTGGCGGCTATCACATTACACCCTGCGTACACTCGAAAATGCAAAAACGCATAACGCGCGCACGACTGCCGTAACACAGCAGCCACTCTGCCCTTGAGCAGGGGTCGGTGTACAAGCGGAACTCCCACCGTCGAGGAGCTTCCCGTGGAACACCGCCATGCCGGCCACACGCCCGATGAAGGTGAAGTAAGAGAGGTGCTCCTCGTTGCACAAGCCCGAGATGGGGTTGATCTGCAGGGTGTAGTTGTCCCTGCCGTGTCGTGAGAAACGCAGAATAGAGATCACCGAACGGAACTGCGGTCAGACTTTTTATCGCGTGCACGGCCTTAAAGGCAATATAGAGGCAGCACATATATTGCAGGTTTGCTGAGCTGTGTGATACAAGCTTGAAGCTTTGTTAAACGAGAAACAAGACCTTGCAGTTTTGGTAAAGTGCATCGTTCGGCACGGTGATGATCACACATTATGATGGAGCATCTGAGCCTGGTGTGAAAGTCGATATTTATTAAGTGAATGTTTAATATTGTAAATATGGACTGTGATGCCTGAATATGTTTACGTAAGGAATTTCCCGCGGCTAAAGGAGCAAGCCCATGCCTGGTAGGTAATGTGTGCATCACGCAGTGTGGTAGAGATGTTAACTACCTCGCCTGGTATTCAGGAGGTCGTGGGTTCAATCCCAATCCTGACGCCTGCTGTATATTTGGAGTTTGTATGTTCTCCCCGTGGTCGTGTGGAATTTTTCCGGGTCCTCTGGTTTATTCCCCTCCACATTTAAAAGTATTTGGCTGCTGCGATAAAATCCTGCGGGATAAGCCAATTTGCTAAGCTACCATTTGTAATAGCCACGTCACTTCTGAAAAAAGAGCTACATAGCTCAGTGGGCCTTACTTGGTAAAATAAAAATAGTTAGTTAGATGTGTCACGTGTGTGGTGGGAACTTGTCCAGTGCGGCCACTTTGGTGGGCAGGTTTAGTGGCGACTCATTCACGAGCGCAGCAGGCGGCGCGGAGAGTCAGGGCCACGCGCGCGCCAGAACGTAATCGCGGGGGGCAAGGAGGTTCACGCACGTGGCCGAGTACTCGAAGAGGCCGTAGTAGGGGTTGAACATCTCCTTGGAGATGAGGAAGAACCACTCGCGGGCGACGCCGCCGTAGTCCAGCCCCTTCTCGCCATCGAACTCGATCCACAGGCGCGCCTTGAGCAGGTCGGCGCGCTTCACCGCCACGATGCGCCGGTACGAGTCCTCCAGGATGCTGGCGCGGTGCAGCTTCATCTCGAAGCGGTTGGGGATGTCGGCCTGGGCGGGCGGCACGGCACGCAGTTACACGGGGGGGTGGGGCGTGCGGGTGGGGGGGGCAGCAAACGCGTGCCGATGCACGAACGCGAGCGTGCAAGGACGCTCGTGCACTTGCGCTTCAAGAGGGTGGCGACACACGCGCGGCGCGAGAGATTGACAACGTAAGCTCAGTTTACGGAGCGGCCGTTGGACACGCTCCCCCCTCGATTCTTGACCATTATTCGTGTGCGTCCACTCAACACGCCGGTGCGAGTGGAAACCGTCTCATAATACCTTTCAAGCTATGGCAGGTGCATAAAATAGGGATACACAAGAAAAATATTCACACGTGCACACAACACACACGTCCTGCCAATCAACTTCACTGGCCTAAATTTCCCTCGTTTTTAACAAAAATAACACTTTTTAATAAAAACTTGTAGATGTCACGTTTCAGCTGCTGATGCTTCATCATTAATAGACTAACATTTTACACCTATCAAATATTTTTTAATGGACATTGCAAAGTTACGTAGAAACACTAAACAATGTAAAAGTAAAAAACCAGAATCACTCACCGGCTTCTTTAATTTCTTCCTGAAGAAGTCGTATTTCTGTTTGTAATCTCTTGAGTAGGGAACAGCCTGGGCAAACAATGAAACAAGTTGGAACTCAGCCGGCAATACTGCTAATGCACCGTGTACATGTTAAAAACAAGCACAACAACATTTACAATGGAGTACGACATACAACCAGCACCATCAGGCAACTTCCTATTGATGCTGTTTGTTGTAAATCGCCAACGAAAACCTCGTACACAAATTGTGAATGTTGCGTTTGCCATCTAACACACCGGTGTGTTCACGTGATGAGCCTCGCTATCTGGCTGTGTTGGGTGGGTGTACGACACATTTACGCGATCCAATTGAAACAACTTCATCGTCAAGGATATTTTGGTTGCGAACGCCTACTTGTTAAATAATTGAAAGCAAGCACATTTTAGCTCACATTCCATGCGTCGGCATTTTAAACGTATTCACTTGGAATGCGAGCATCGGCAGTAGAGTCGTTGGCACGAACATCGGTCCACGTCTCCTGCGTGTAACAAAAGCCCAGCAGAACTTTCCAGATTCCATCTCCAGCGGAGACACCGGACGACACCAAACCGTATCCATCGTACGTCGGTCGGAAGATTCGGTGAACTATTTTTCTTATTACCAGGTAATGCCCACGGAGCTAGATTACTATTTTTCAGAAGTGACCTGGCCACAAATTAACGCTCAACGAAGTGGCTTATTCACGTGGACGTTTATTGCAGCCAAATACTCGAAAATCCAAGTTGATTCTAAATGTGGAGGGGAAAAACTGGAGGACCCGGAGAAAAAATCCACACGACCATAGGGAGAACATTCCAACTACAAATATCCAGCAAGCATCAGGATTGGGATCGACCCCACGACCCTCTGTATACCAGACAGGGTAGTTAACATCTCGCCACCGTGGCGCCCCCCCTACCACACGAGTGGGGAGCCGAGGACTCGCGGACGTAGCGAGCTACGGCCCCAACAGCCACGTCGCCCAATGAGTGCTCAATGCACGGAGTTCCTGGAGGAGCGATCCACCTTGCCACCCTGGAGTAGCGTGGAGCTGCAGTTGCAGTGCTGTGCCACCGTGAATTTGATGTTTGCACAATTAGGGCAACTTCAATACAAAAAAGCACCTGTATGCACTTGCAAATCAAAGATCTCAATACTCGTGATGGAGGTAGGCTATTGCATATAGTTCACGCTTATTTTGTTGAACCGGGTGACAACTTCGGGTGACAAGTAAAGTCACGTTTGTAAGAGTGATGCAGAACTCACAGCCATGTTACTCAACGGCATCAATCTCCAGATATCTTATAAACGGGTTTGTACACATTATACTTCCCAGCATAAATAAAAACACGTGACATAACGATGCTGCTCTCCTTATTATGGATGCATCTTGAAGCCACAAGGGGTAAGAAATAATTAAACAGGGGGGCAAACTCATTAGGCTACCATTTGTAAAGAATTCCACAGAAACCCCCCTGAAAATCATTAACCCAAATTGTTAAGTTGGAAAGCAGTTGACTGCAAGCAAAGCATTTACCCTTTAGAAGATTACCATTCCAGATCCGTTTGGTGCTCTTTAGCAATCGTCAACAAGACCCCTGCACACACAGGCATCTCAAGACGTGCTCATTCCCCAGCAGCGGTGTGTGTCCCCGCAACTTCTAGTGCTGGTCTGGGTAAACAAGTGTTGCCAACTCATAAATCAAACAATGGGGCTCAGTACCCCTCCGTCTGAGAGCTTAAACGTGCACTTTGGAAACTCGCTTTTTTTCTCGGGTGGAGGCCAATCTCCCTCCACCAGCGTGCACCGCCGAGTGTCCTCAGAGTGGCGCTAGTTTTGTTGACCCCCGAGGGATGATGGTCTGAATTGACCTCTTGACACAACAGAGATTTGAACTGAGAAATGTCTGCCCGAGTTGTTGGCAATAACTAAAGTGTGATCTGTTTGGAGAACAACCATGGGCTCTTATACATTCACCCATCCTCATGTCTAATTAAAGCACAACCAGGCCGTCTTGTAAGACACCTGCAGGAAAACAGATCAATGATGTTAAGATGGCAAAGTGACACAGGGAGGTTGGAACAACAGCCACGCTAGTCACACGACCGTCGAAGGTGAAGTAAGGCAGGCTCTCCTTGTTGCACAGGCTCGGTCCTGCTTGACTTAGGAGATGGGATATGAGATTGGGTGCATTCCGAGCGATCTGGCCACGAACGCCGATGACCGAGAGAGTGGAGAGCGCTCACCGGGCCGGTGATGGCTGGGTTCTGTAGCCGGGGATCCTCCCACTGCGTGTTCTTCGTGTCTGCGCGATGGGGAAATAACAAAACAGCCCGAGTAACCGAGTGTGTTTGTTCTGGAGTAGCTGGATGCCGCGCACTTCCATGCCGTGTTCCCACGGGCACTTGTTGGGACGGATTCTCACAACAGCCTCCGCCGAGCTGCACCTGGCCCACGCAGCTCACTTAATATCCCTTTTCCACTGCCACATCCGAGCCAGAGCGTGGCGCCTCAACAGTACAGGTGTGCGGAGCTGCAGTGACACGTGGGAGGTGAGACAGGTGAGTGGGATGAGTCTGGTTAGTGTGATGAGTTGGGTGAGTGGGACGTGGCGGATTAATCGGGTGAGTCAGGTGAGTGGGGTGAGTCGGTTGAGTGGGTTGAGTGGGGTGAGTCAGGCGAGTGGGACGAGTGGGATGAGTCGGGTGAGTGAGTGGGGCGAGTGGGCTGAGCGAGGCTGCGTGGCGCTCACTGTGGTCGATGTAGAAGGTTCGTCCATCCGAGTGCGTACGCTCCTCCCAGCCAGGCTGTGGGGAGAGCGCAGGGCCGTCAGGACACGACACCACGGACACCGTGTACACGGCGCTACGCGGACACCGCGTACACCTCACATGTATTAAACATCCAAATGCAACCGAATCGCAAAACGTTGTGCTACGTGGAGGAAATGTGGTTACATGAGGGAGAGGTAACAATGAAAACCGGGGATCCAGCATAGCTGACAATGAAATATGGGACAGAGAGAAAAGGCAGCCATAGGCAGCGGAAAAGTGTAGATCCTTCGGGGTGGACTTCGACAAAAGAAGTCTGCAGTGTGGATGGCCAGCGAGAGGAAGTTCCAGACACTGACGGGAGGACATGAGGGGGGAGGGAATTTTAATTGAGCCGCGGTTGACTGGGGAGTGTTGAGAGAAGATCTGTTGTTTTTGGAACAGAGGGCACAGGAGAGGGGAGTGGAGTGAGAGGAAAGAGGAGAGGGAGGTGGTGGGGGGGCAAAGTCCATTCAGGATTTCAACGACAGTGAGGGCCAACCTTGCAAAATTGGCCAAGTGAGAGGATTCCAGAAGGGCAGCAGATGAGGAAGCTTAATCTCCTATTGAGGAAACATTGTTTTGCGATACTGAGTTAGAAGTAGCGCACAAGCACAAGTAACAAAAAACTGAAGAAAAATCATCAATAAGTGCCAAAAGGAGGGATAATAAATGTGTGACGTATCAGGAAATGTCGATTCTTCGAGGCACATCCTTTAGAGCAGCGTTACCGATGAACGTGTTGGGTTTTTCCTATCGAGTAAAGGGGCGACTGAAGGTGTAGATAGGAGGCCTGGTTTGCTGGAGCAGAGGGTACGGAGGTGGGAAGTAAATTGAGATGAGATGGGTTAAGGTAGGGAGGTTAAAGTTCATATGGAAAAATAAATAAATGACAAAAACAGTGGAAGAACCTGAAGAGTGGGGTGATGTGGTCTCGTTAACAGGTACAGGTGACAATTCTGCACTTGGACAGGGAGAGGGAGTCAGCAGCACAACACAGAGAGGGAAGCAAACAAAAGCTGAGAAAATCAGAAAAGATTGCGTTTCATTTCGACGTGAAAATGAGCAGAGGAAAGTGCTGCTGGTCACGGTCCATGCGCGTCTGAGGGTGCCACGTCCGAGGTGTTGTACCGGCAAAGGGCCCAGTTCTGATGGGTCGAGACTGGGTCTCATCCGCATGTGGACGGGCACTTTGAGGCGTGGGTCCTCCTGCATTGGCAAGTGGAACAAACGGAAGACCGGCGACATTAAAAGGAACACTGCAAGTGCCTTCACGTTATTTTAAATTAAAACCGATATATATATATGATAACACATTCATAAACAGCGATTCAATGGCCGAAGACATCTTAATAATACATATAGAAGATGGGCTTGCGTGGTGCCAATGGTGTCAGTGGTGCCGGTGGCGCGGCGTACCCATGTGGTGGTGCGGTTGTTGTGGTCGATGAAGAATGGGCGACCGTTGGGGGCGAACCTCATCTCCCAGCCGGCCGGCAGGAAGCTGAAGCCCGGGCAGCCCTTGTGCTTCTGCTTGGGGGAGCCGTACGGAGACGCCTGCGGCGAGTCCATGGGGGGCTGCGCAAACGACGGCGGCCCGTTGCGGCCACCTCGCATGTCCGGCATGTTCTTCGCAGGTCACAGGTGGGAGGGGAAAGGGGAGTGGGGGGAGCAACGAAGGAGGATTCTCGTCAGCAGTCGCCGGCACCGTCGGGTTCTCGCTTGCTTCAACTCCCCCCCTCACATCTCTCGCTCTTTCTTGCTCTGTTAACATGAAAATCACTGATAATGACTGAGGTTATATATCAGCCAGCAAACTTTCGGTTTTGTAAATAAACGTATTTATAAACACATCGCTGAATGAACAGAAACATTAATTTACTAACATTGTCTAAGTTCGTTATACTTTCAGGGGCTCCAAAATGTATCTGGCAATCACCTCATGTAAATTACATTCTGGGCTGGCCTTAGGCCGTGCGAGTCTTGGCATGGCTCACTGATGAGCCTTGGTCAAGCCGAAACCCTTCCATGTCTCCCACGCTGCAGAATGTCTTTTAAAACGCGCCGGCTTATACGTGCTGCTACAACGGAGAGCAATGGCGTTGAAACGGAATCGGTATTATTACAAGGAAACACACCATTAGGACCAAGGTCTGTACCCAGCCGCCTGGTACAGCGCACGCATACCTCGTACCTCCACGGCACGGCAGCTGACGTCTACGAAGCCACCGTCCAGGTTGGGCACCGGGATTGGCCCTGCAGTAGCAGGGCGGTGAGCGTCGGTGATCGCACGAACGTGCAGCCCCCAGGGGGAGGGGTGGGGGGCGCTTTGGCTACGTTGGCGGAACGCGGCACTCACCTCCTGGATGGCGGGCGAGCTGAGGCTGCGGGGTCGACGGATGGGCGCAGAGGGACCCTCCGGGGCCGAGGCCCCCGCCGTGGCGGCCCCCTGCGTGGCGTAGTCGGCCTGCTGCTCGAAAACATTGGCCAGAGATCGGGAGGGTCAGCGCGAGGTGTGTGCCCTTCCAAGTGATTCGGTCAACATCCAAAAATCGAAGCCTGCTCAAACAAGCGGTGCCCAAAGCCCCCGGAAACGAGTTACAAATGCAGAACTTAAACGGGGAGGCCCAGTCTATCCCAAAAAACGAATGAGTTTTGATTCTCCGCAAAGCGCTACTCATTTTATCGACCCTGATGGAGACTAAGTGAAGACAATGCCCGGTCAACAATTGAATAAATCAATGGGAATTAATTTAGAAGCGGGCGAGATACCATTGGGAGCAGGGTCTCTCATGTAACAGAGACCGACCTGGGACCAACATTTTTTACTAACATACTCTTTGGTTCTTTTGGTAAAGTCACGTAGGTATAAAATAAAAAATAACACATCACGACGTTTCGATCGCAACACAAGCGGTCGTCCTCAGGTGGAAAAAATAATCCAGCAATGGAATTGCTTTTGTTTTATTTTATTTATTTTTCTACCTACGTGACTTTACCGAAAGAACCAAAGAGTATGGATTCCTGCAGTCACGAAAGTTTCAAATCAAGATTTTTAATTAAGTTGGGCGAAGAGCAGGTTTGACAACGGGAAGGGCTGCTGTCATGGTGGGCTGTGAGACCAGCCCTATTGGCCAAACGTTGTCCCAGGACTACCGTCCCCAAGCCAACGCCGTCCTACTCCATACTCAAAAGCTCAAGCGTGAATTTAACACTTTAACGTCAGCTTGGAGCACCACGGCAAATCAATGCGCAGCGACCACTCCTTGCGACCTCCACGAACGCCGTACCACGCGGACTGCCCAAGCCGAGCGGCTGCTACCTGCACGATGGGCCTCGTCCACGTGGTGGTGCGGTTGTTGTGGTTGACGAAGTAGGAACGCCCCTTCTCGTCCTTCCTCTCCTCCCAGCCCGGTGGAAGCCCCGGGGTGGTGAAGGCCTGCGGCACCACCACCTGCAGGGCACGCAGGGGGCAGGGCCCGGGCACGGCATCACCGCGGCTCACCGGCAGGGCGGCACAACAGGCAGTGCTACCGCTCCCTCCTGACCATGGTATGACGGTGCCTACCAACTACAAACGGCGGTGGCCAAAGCGGGGAACGGTTGTGCATGGGGATGCGACGATCTGCTTCGGGGATACGCGGATATGCCGCAACCCTCTCTCCTCAACGTGTTCTAAAATGAGTGGCCACTACAACGGTTGGTCTACACGTAAAAGGTAAAGACGTACCTCCAATTGACTGCAGGCTGCTGTGGGAGGGTTGCCTCTACTTGGTTGGAAAATGAGACGGTTTGGGATTTTTGTTGAAAGTGGGATTTCCCATCAGGCAGGGACACGGAGTAATTATGTAGTTTTACACCGACATTCACCGAAGTAGATGTGGCCACACCTAATCACAGGTGGCTTTAGACAACCTGGCATGACTCACTTGGATAATTTGAGGTAAAATTGAATATTAATCCTCGTAAAGACATGTCAGTGTTGTGCTCAATTGTGGTTTATTGCCACGCCATGAGCTACTATCACAGTAGTAAGCTCCTGCAGTCACGAAAGCTTCAAGTCAAGATTCACAATCACAGCTAACACATTGGGCCTTGCGTTTCTGCATTTTCACCACCAACTATGAAAAGTCAATGACTTAAGAATGTTTTTTGTTACTGTGGTGCTCCATGTATGCAGCGATGTCGCCTCCTATTGCATCACATTGCATTAAGCCATGGCCAGGAAATAATGCTTGGCAACACTGCACATTGCTAATGTCACCCATTTTGACACGGTAATGATCAATTTGCTCAATTTTTTTTGTTTAAGATTGTATAATACTTGTCATTAGTGCTCTAAATTGACCAAATTGTTGCAAAAATCGATGGAAGGTGAAGATCATTGTTGAACTGTATATTTTAAGTGACATTGTTATTGTTTGTGTTTTTTACGCATTATTATATAGATTCTAGTGCAATTTAAATATAATTCAATAAAGCAGATGCAGCAATACCACACGCGTCAAAGATGCAACAAGGGCAGCGCAAAAAAAAAACCCTGCACAAAGAAACCAGCGGCAAGTTAGAACCATGAGAGCACCACCACTGGGTTAACCGATGCCTTTCCAAGTACAGCATGCGGAGAACAACAGGGCACCCTGTAACGGCTGCTTACTTAAAACCACCACCACGACCACCACCACCACGAGCGGTGTACGAGTCCCAGGACAGGGGAAGAGTGTAAAGGGAGATCCCAGTAAGGGAAACCACACAAGGGAAAAAGCAGTAGCAGAGCTTAGTTTGCGTATTAGTTGGGCCCTTGATAGCGGAGTACCGACGAGAGTGGAGGACGTGAGACGCTTCATGCCAGTCTTCTCCCCCATCCCCTGGCGCTTCAGTTCACATTGCCGGGCGATGCGTACTACCGCCCACTATCTGCGCTTGCTCATTGCAGGTACAAATCGCGAGAGCACGACAGAGGGCTCGAAGTGCATTTATCACATTCAGCAGACAGAGCTGTAGAATGCAAAAAAACGTAGAAAACTCCGATGCAAGCCTCGCCGGAGTATCTCCATTCTATACGTCTGCCGAATTGTAAACGGACCTGAAATCCACAAGATCTCTCTTAGACTACATCACGTAACATTACTTAGTCTAACACTATTAAAAAACAAAGCCAAGCCAAAAACGTCTCCCGGCTTGAATGAGCAACGAGGGCGCCACTCGTGGGCCCCGCTAGCCCCTCGGCTGGGATTTGATTGTGCAACCTTCTGCCCGAGCCACACGGCCGGATGCCCACGGCTGGTTCTGACGAAACTTCACAATCTGGCTTCCGTATCTGCAAACTCCATTAATTCGTCCATACAATGTGTCACTCAACAAGAAAATAGGATATTATTGATGACATGCAGGCGTTGATTGGTTAAAGGGGATCCCCACCCCACCCCCACCGTCTACAGTGAACTCAATGCAGTTTGCAGCAGACAGATCATTAGCCGACAGAGCTTTACGGGAATTGATTCATGTTTTGTCTTGCATAAATGTTTAATTGCCCCCCGCTAACATGAAATGTGTTTCTAAGCATTAAATATTTATGAATAATTACAATGTATGGCTGACCAGGTGCAAGTTTGTTAAAAAAAACCATCTTAGTTGGGCTGGCTAAAGTACGGCTGCTGTGAGCTTCGTGTAATTGCACGAGGCACTTTATGGACACGGCTGCAATAAACGCTGGTGAACACTAAACGTGGGGGAGAGGGGGAGGATGAAAGATCATCAGCAACCCCTGCATACGATCAGCAAATTCTCATTTTAGCACTGACGATATCACGCGCCTATTGCGCCTCAAAGATAAACATGTTGAACATGTCTAATGGGACAGGTGTGTTTAAATACATTTTGGATGAAATCAAGATTCTAGACTAACATGAAATGAAACACGAGGAACATGTCCTCCCATGCAGACATCGTTAAGAAAGTTACTGCACTGAATTCTCGTAGGCAAATCCACGTATACGGCCGTCACACAAGTCTGATTGTCGGAGGATTGAAATGCAAATGTTCTTTCGGCACCTACAGCCTCGCGATAGTGAGCAAAGCTCCAACAGTCGTAGCACTGCAGCACGTGCAACGGCACCGGCTTCTTTCAGACATTATTCTTCTAGTAGTGGCAAGGCTTTCTGTAAAGTTTCTTTGTTCATCGTTTTGTATGTTGATGTTTTAATGAGGCTCGTCCAAAAAAGGGGCTTAACACTCGGCTCAAGTTGGGGATGGTGAGAACCGAGGAGGGGTGAAGGGGGGGGGAACGCCCCCCTTTCCACACTCCGGGCCCCTCCCCCCTGCCCCAACTGGGCTGGCTGCCCCCCCCCCGGCCGCTACGATTGTTTGCCTGGCAGCGTTCCCTCGCGCCGGGACCGCGGCCAGCGCTCGCGCGAAACAACGCGGCCCCGGCCAGACAGCGCACAGACAGGTGCAGGAGCTGGCCAGCAAATTAGGTCATGGAAAGGGGGGAAAAAAACACACACGGTCATTTCTCTATAAAGCTTCCCACTTTGCCTTGGTCCCCCGAGAGAGGGGAGAGAGAGAGAGAAAATCCGCCGAAGAAAAACAGGAAAATGATTGGATCACGTGGTTACAAAAAAAAATCACAAGAGCAGCGTTGGAAGAGTGACGCCGCAGTGGCGCGGTTGGAGGCTCTTGGCGACGTTTACCCTCTGAAAGTGAGCAAGTTCACCGTTTGTCACGGTGGATGACCGTATCCTCCTAGCCTGTGGTTTCTGTGGGGGGGGTGAACAATGACAGTTATACGTCAACGGCACCTGTGTTACGCGTGAAAGGTGACTGCGGTATGGGGCTCGGAATTGTTTGTTACCATGATGGACTGTGGCGGTTCTGGGTTAGTGACACTGGATGAGCGTATCCGTCCGTTCAGCAACATCTGCAAACGGCATAGGCGATTTTGAGCACATGCGGATGTAATGTTTCATGGGTGTGTTCTCTGCTTGTAACAGCTGCTAAACATGCGAGCGCGCGCAAAGCGCAACAGCCAACATCAATGACACAATGCATGACTGTTGCGATAGCGTCATACAGAAGAACACAATTTAAACAAAACATACGTAACTTTTAGTGTCATTGCATTCACCATCGGCACTACCAGGCAGGCTGCCAGAACACCGAATGCTAATTTGCTCCACTAAAAGGATTGCCTCACCCTAGCAGAGCTGCCACGGTCTACCTCCAGAGTGCGTAACTCACAATACACACATCTGTGTGCTTAGAGCACAGTCACTTCCCATTTCAAAAGTCTGATCGCTACATCTATAAAAGCACATTCAATACGAAGTAATAAATACCTATATGCCTACGTGTATGCTACATGTAAAACACACACGAGAAGTCCATTTGCCCTGGTGATGGATCAACTATAAAACGCACCATTTACAGTCTCTGTGCCAACACGCTGCGCTTTATCTGCCTGAAATTGCACTCATGGTCATGAGCGTCACCCCCTCTGCCTCCTGTTGTTACCGCACGGTGGCTGCTGCCAGCTTCCCAGTGCCGCCCTTTACGAGCACCCCCCCCCCATTACTGGCAGCGGTGGTGTCCCCAATCTACTCCATCAAATCATACGAACGGCTTTATTTAAAACCAGGCAGATGCCCATTGAGACGAGTCTCTTTGTCAAAGGGAAAACTGGGAGACATTTGAATGGGCAACACGAATAGATCACTGCACGAGATCCTTCAATTAAATGTGTGCAACTCAAAAGCAATAAAATTCAGGTTCGGAACATCCTGTAAATCACACGAGTCCAAGTTTTCTTCATGCAGTGATGCGTCCCACAAAGACAAAGACCCCGAAAACAGCCACAACAAGTTGTTGTGGCGAGCGTTCTAGCGAGAACCTCTCAAGGCCGGCAGGGCACATGACGGGGTAGATTGTTCCGTACCACGCACAGCTGCCTTTGTATCCCCAATGCTGATGTGACACACCGCCCCAGGTACTCAAATAAGGCCGAGTTGAAATTGGGGGCGGCCCAGGATCCTTTCGGAAATCACTCGCTACCGATGATGACCCAGCTCACCAGGTCCGTAAGGCAGTGCACGCACCATCGCACGACCGCTTCCCACATACTAACAGAGACAAAGATTCCCCCTATAGCCTTAACAGGCTGTTGGGGCAAGTGCTGTTAGGGAGCACCTATGCAGGCCGGCACGACACATAAGGGGTTGGGTGGCCAGCACCACGCCCAACCGCGTTTGTCTCGCCAGTGCTGATGTTGATACACTGCACAGAGTACTCATTTGAGGCCAAGTCGACCTAGGTGAGGCCAAAAAACGGTTTAAATATTCTCCACTGCTCTTGGTCGCACACAGGCACGCACGCACAGCGCAACGGTGGCCCAGCCGTGCCGGGCTCCGCCTTACCGAGGACGAGGCCTCCTCGCCGGACACGCTGGCCGCCTCGAGCCGCCGGTTCAGCTCGTCGGACAGCGCCGCCGAGGGCGGCTCTGGCTCAGGGCTCTCCGAGGGCGGGGGTGGGGTAGCCAAAGCGGGCACCGGCGAGGGCGCGGGCGAGGTGGCTGGCGAGGGCACCGGAGACGGCGCGGGCGGGGGCGTTGGGGGGACGGGCGGCTCCGGTGCGGTGCTCGGCTGGCTCTCCGCTACCGGCTCCAGCAGCTCCCAGTTCAGCTGCACGGAGCAAGGGTGACACCACGGAGGGGTGGGGGTCACACGGTCACGACTGCTCGGGGCTCAACGATGCCCCGAGTCTCGGAGAACCAAACGAAGTTCTTGCAGCAATAAGAAACGTGCGTGTCGTGCACGGAGACGCTGGGCCGACACGCGCACAGCAGGGGTGCTGCAGCAGACTGCTCGACGTGCAACGATGAGGCTGCGTGTTTAAATCTCGGTCACGGGTTCGCTCGACCCTGGAGCGCTCATTAAACGAGTATCAATTTGTGGGAGGTCAACAGTAACGGTCCCGTGGGAAAACTGAACAAGCAAAAGAAACGTGCAAGTTTTCCCACCGAGCAGTGCCGGGGGTTTCCTGCCTTCGCAAAGCAGAATGCGCGGGGGAGAACCGCTGCTTTTAAATAGGGGCCGAATGAATAAACCACAGTTTAAAGTTGATTCATCAACTTCAATAATGTTGCAAGCGATAAAGAAATGCTTTAATCTGCATCATTGCACAGATGTGTCCTACCTTCATTGCACACACAGTGGCAGATGAGACATGGAGATAAAGGGAATTCACAGGCACACTTTAAGAGAACTGCAGCAGCTAGAAAGTAAAAATATGAATGTGGCTCTCCGATGACTCCCAGCCCGTTCAGGTAATTGAAACCATCGGGAGGACGAAAGTCAACATGGAAGACGGGGGCCCACGTGACGTCGAGACAGGCAAGTGCAGGGCGCAGGGCCTTGCCGCACCTCGGAGTTGTCCCGCGAGTCGGTCGCTTCCACGTCCTCGCTGATCTGCCGCCGCGAGCGGAAGATGTTCTGCGCCTGCTGGTCGATCTCCCGGATGTGCGTCTCCGACTCCGGCGTCGCCTCTCTGTGCACGCACACACTCACAACGTCAACCTCCCTCACAGACACACACACACACACGTCAGTCCCTCACACACACATGCCTCAAAAACAAAGACCCTCCGTATAGCCTTAACAGACTGTTGGGGCAAGTACTGTTAGCGAGGGGGTGGGTGGCCAGCACCACGCCCAACCGCTTTTCGCTCCTCCGTGACGATGTTTACACACCACACCAGGTACTCAATTGAGGCTGAGTCGACCTAGGGGAGGCCTAGGACCGGTTCAGATAATTGCCACTGGTGTTGGCCGTGAGCGGGAATTGAACCCGTGTCGCTAGGTTCAAAGCGCAGTGTGCTAAACACTACACGACAGCTCCACTTTGTCACCATCCCTCACACGTACATATGACAAAGACAAAAACCCCTATATAACCTTAAGATAATGTTGGGGCAAGTGCTGTTAAGCGAGCACCTATGAAGGCCAGCACAGCACACGAGGGGGTGGGTGGCCAGCACCACGGCCGGCCGCCTTTGTCAGTGACCTTTCTGTTTACACATCGCACCAGGTACTCAATTGAGGCTGAGTCGACCGAGGGGAGGCCCAGGACCGGTTCAGATAATTGTCACTGGTGTTGGCCGTGAGCGGGAATCGAATTCGCGTTGCCGGGTCCGTAGCGCAGCGTAGCGCTAACCGCTACACCACCGCTCCACACAAATGACACCCTCCATCACACACACACACACACAGAAAGGTCACGGTCTCGACTAAACAAATGGACATATTTCCAGGTAAGTTAATTATTTTTAACCAACACTGGTGGCTAACATCAGTGATCAACCAGCTATAAAGGGAGGTCACAATGACCATCATCTACACATCAAACATTGTATTTGAGGTTGGAATTTGAAAATTCTTCGCACGTGTTGAAAACTGAATTACAAATACCAAATGGGCAATTAGAAAAGGCAGTATCGAGCCCACACCTGTGAGCTCCCCAACAATCACTTAAACAAATATATACCACGCAAATTACCCTTTGCATCATCAAAAGTCAAATTACATAAGTACCCAATAGAATTGAAAAATTAGGAGATAAGTACGCGAGTCACCTAAACTAACTATTGCTAATACAAACGTGCAGCATATGAGACTGCATGGCAACAGATGAAAGCGTGGCCGTGAAGAAGGCGGGATGACTCTGGGGCCTCATTGTCCTGGAGGCTCAGAGCAAGCGTCACAGATCCTGCACTCAAATCTGGGCAGCCTTCCCACGCTGTGTTTCCATCATGGGCATTCACTCAAATACACTCCCCCCACTCCCGCAAAGCAATGCCAGGCCACTCAAAAAGCACTGCCTAGGAGGTGGCAAGTCGAGCAAATGTGTTCTTGAACCCATCTGTGCGGAGCTTGAAACGCGATCGCCTCGTAAGTGTTGGGGTTTTTTCAGGTACTCCCGTTTCCTTCCACAAGCCAAACATCCCCAATGCGGGACCATCCTAAAAAACAATCTTGAGACTCGGTGAGGTGCTTTCCTGGACAACCAAAGAGAATAAGTATAATATTTGGTCAGGGGTCAACTCGGCACACTCAGCAGGGACAATGAAATGCACTCGTTAATGGAATTGGTAAAATATCCCAATGCCCCTGCACCTTCGAAAATACATGGCATTATTGTAATTTATGATTATAATTCATTTGCACGCATTCCTAGATAAATACATCAAAGCGAGTTCCTCCTCAAATGAGCATCGAGGCTGTGCTCATCTCTTGGCTAAAGCCCTGAGAGGCCAGTGGAACAGAAATTCCACATTCCTATGGCGGAGACGATTCTATTCATAGGACAACCACCGTTGACTTCACCGCAAAGTGGCACCCATTTAATCGACCCCACGAGGCACGATGGGCCGAGTCAACCGCCAAGGAGGATTCAAACTCGCAACCCTCCGAATGCGATCCGCTCGCTCGACCGCCGAGCCGAGCCGGCTGATAAACAAAGGGGGCATTATAATTATTCCTTTTAGAATCTACCCAACACGAGCTGCCCCAGTGGCATTTCCTGGAGGGAGGGGCGAGGCGTGCAAGGCTTACACGGTGCTGGGGCGGACCCACTGCGTGGAGCGCGTGCGGTGGTTCACGAAGTACGTGCGGCCCAGGTTGTCCTGCCTCTCCTCCCAGTCGACGGGCAGCGGCGGTAGCTGCTGCTCGTTCGTTCGCTGGGTGGCGGCGGCGTCCGGGTGCTCCAGCACCTCCCAGCCGGGCTGCTGGCGGTGTGCAGGGTCACATGCGTGGCGGCGTTAAGACGCGCGCGCGGGAGATCGCAACACGGCGGGGAAGCAGCACACGGTGGGGTTAGAACGCGAGTTCGGTGAAGCGGCCCAGGGGTTGCGCGTTTGCTGCTTTTTGCAGAAGTTCACGGTTGGAATCAAGAGGCCGCCTCGGTTATTATCGCTGGTGTAGCAATCGTAATAATACTGAGTGCTGCCCGCTCAACAGTGCACGTTAAAGATCCCGGGACGTCATTCGCAAGAGTATGCCACTGTTGCGCTGGTGTCGTGAGGTCCAAATTTGCCAAATTGAAGAATTACACCACAAATGACTCAATTGGATATACAAGGCAATCATCCTCCTCTACTGCAAAAATTAATCAGGACCCTCCTGGAAAAGTTATGAGACCCAGCGAAGCTTTCCCGGTTAACCTAAGCGTAATAATGAAATAGACAGCGAGGTTTTAACACAGCAGATTGTAACATACGGTGAGGCTCACAACGCACGATGGGCTAATTACACGTGCTGGGTTTATACAGCACGCCGTTGGGTAATGAGATGCGGCAATATCAAAAGATGGGGCTATAACAAAGTGTGTATCGGGTTAGTATTCCCTTTATTGAAGAATGTAGATATGAATTTCTATTAAAATTATGTAAAATGGTGCACTTATCTTTTCACATGTGTATTTTTAGTTGCTGCTGTTCTTGGCACAGGTTTGTTTCCCCATCGGCCGATGCCCCCCTCGCTGCGTTTCATTATCGCGGACGTCCCATGCACAACGGACTCCTCTGGGTGGTCTCTCGCCCCCGTAAGTTGTAATAATGATTTAACAATGCCAAGCCGCCAGCGTCGTCACACATTTATTTTCGGAAATGTCGGTGGCTTTGTGAAAATGTTGAAATGCCAATCAGCAGCGGATGAGGAATAAAGGAATTTTTTCCTCAAAGCTAAATAATTTTAAAACACAATCTTTTAAATATAATTGGGTGATGTGCAAGAAATGTTTCAATTGGACTGCATGCGCAACGAGATACAGATAACAATTTATATTTGGCATTACCATACTTTTTTGCAAGATTTAATCGAGCAAGATTATTAAGTTCTGGGCACGTGTCACACAAACACACTAAGGGGGGCATCGTGTTTGTGAACACAGCAGAGTGGCGGAGACAGCCGCTGTGATTTATTTGGCTTACACGAGTTGCACTTCTGGTAATTTTCAATTCCATTAAGGGTGGAAAATTCTTCATGAATAATAAAAGAGTAGGCAATTATCAAGGACCCCCTTCTCTCCACAGCTAAAAGCCAAGCAAACAACACATCACAGAATACAGTACGGACAATTCCGGCATCGTACACAGTGCACGAGTGCACACGGACTCGAGGATGCGATGCAGAACAAATGACGGCCAAGGGCCCACGTACGAGACGGTTAACATCGCACGGTCAAACGTCACAACCCACACTCGCACAAAGGTGACGGATTACCTCCGATTCTTCAGTCTGCTCGGGGGTCTCCTCGTTGATGCCATTCTGGGGCAAGTAGGCCATCTTGAGCCTCAGGTAGCCCTTCACCCGGGATTTATGACTGCAGTTACACGGGGGAAAATAAACAACCCACACAGAACACGTGAAGCGTTAAATAATTATCAACGCGTTATGAGGGGATGTGCATCGGACCTTGCGCGTCCACAAAGAGCATTGCTTCCTGCGCATGTGCAGGAGGTCGCCGTTTGCTCGCACACGGCAGATGAGGACCCAGCGGAAAGGGTCGAGTTTTTTAACTGCAAATTGGAAGTGGCAGGGTGGCTCGAGCAGCTACTGCTCATCGCTGAGCAATGAGCGGACACCGTCGCGAGTCTGGATGATTGATCCACACATCGGCCACCTGTGATTATTAAACCCATAAGTAGTTGTACACCGATAATTGGTTCTTTACCCTTCTATCTGGCAACAAAACTGACACCTTTTTACAAGGAGTCATGTTTGCATAGACCGCAATACCTGCAGTCACAAATACAAACAAAAGACATAACTCTGATAATGTGCACTGTCCTTGAAGTTGATTGGTCCACACCCGAGACAGCTTTCCTTCGAGCCTAGTCTCATATGGGTTGGACCAGATGACGCCAAAAGGCGCCTTTTGGCGTCATCTGGTCCAACCCATATGAGACTAGGCTCGAAGGAAAGCTGTCTCGGGTGTGGACCAATCAACTTCAAGGACAGTGCACATTATCAGAGTTATGTCTTTTGTTTGTATTTGTGACTGCAGGTATTGCGGTCTATGCAAACATGACTCCTTGCAAAAAGGTGTCAGTTTTGTTGCCAGATAGAAGGGTAAAGAACCAATTATCATATTTTTACTGGCAAATGAGGTCCCCATAGTAGTTGTACACCATCATATTCTGGGGAAATTTCCTAACCTATTGTTCCATCACTGCTTTCTGAATTTAAATGTATTTATCCTAAAGACATGATGCCAAATTACACAATTGAGTTACAATTCGAGATTAAATTAAAAAAACGCAAATATAACATTCACTCGTTTGTAACAGAAAGTGGAAACGACCCATAAATAGCATTTGCACGTGCGAGCGTTGTGGACCAAACAAACATTCCATTTTCACTTAAAAGACAAATTTTAAGTGGGGATGTTACCTCCGTGGCCGCAACAGGAAGTCCTTGAAGGTGTACGGTCTCTCCCTGGTGGGGTCCTCAGTCTGCAACAAAAAAACGAACGCAGCTTTACCTTGGTTAAGCTCCGTGCAAACACAATACGGCCGATTTCTAAAAAAAACTTTGCTTTGCGTGGCATAGCATGCATGCAGCTTGTTAGTGATGTCTGAATTGTATCGGGCAACAGCAAGAGCATATTTCTCAATTGATGCTATCTGAAATTGGCCAGAGATCACTTTGAAAAGGACCCGGAATACCTCAGAGCGGCTGTTATCACTCGTGTTGTGCACAAGAGAGAACTGGCTATGGTTAATGGTGCCAATCGCTTTCCACAGCCCACGCAATTAGTTCAATGGCACCGGTGTTTGGAAGGTGCTCATCTCTGCTAACAGCACGGACAAGCGGAAAGGCAGCGAGAACTGGTGCCAATAGTTGCCCAAGCTCTGTGGCCCTATATTGGGTTGTTTGGCCAACTGCATGGAATTATTTTTGTAGATTGCATGCTAAGCATTAACCTATGTGCCACGCACAGCAGACATTGATGATACACGGTGACAGATGAATGCGATAACCGTGACAAGGCATATTAATCATTAAACGGCTTTGTCAACTCACTACTGGATGAAGGCCTCTCCATCCCGACGTGTGACTGTACTACACTACATTGGCCAGTGTGGGTTGGTAAATGGTAGGACCGGTTCAGACAGCCCTTGCCACTAACGTTATCCACGGCTGAGAATTTAATTCGGTTGCTGGGTTCTTAGCTCACTGCGCCAACCACTGCACCGCCACTCCGCCTCCAAGTGTATGCCTCTGCAGTGCTGCGCTACACGTATTGGGTTTGCTCCGAGGGACTCGTAACACGCGTGGAAAAGACAACAGCTCCGATGAGAAAGAGGCGAGCATCGATTGTTAAATTGGCAGCTGACCACGAACGGAAAGTCACCCTCCGATTGCAGTGCATGCAGCGCTAAATACCGGGAGGTGGCCGAGCGGGACATCCACCTGGCCCAGGAAGTCATCTCTCGTCTGAAACAAACAACAACCAAGAAACGTCACATGCGAGTTAAGCAATAATTAATATCAATTGATACGTAACATTTTTAATCACCGCCAGAGTTATCACATGTACTGCACTATTTAATTCACAAGACACTCAGGGTACAGCCTCAAATAACCTTTGCAGAAAATATTTTACATTGTGCAAAGGACATAGCTAGCACTTAATGAATATTTAATTATTAAACGTGGAATGCTTTTTTCCAAGGTGAATAGAAAATAAAATAATCAGTAATGGGGAAAAAACTGTGCTTTAATTAGTTCATTAATATTGACGTTGGGACTGGGATGGAAGTCGTGCAGTTACAAACACAGACCAAAACACCGTACCACTGCTGCCATTCACAGTACCTTACAAAAGAGAAAATAAATATCACACCAAGGCTCTTCTTCCCTCAAGTTATTTAACGAACAAGCACGAAAGGTCTCTTGTGATCATCCTGAAAAAGTTGAAAATTGTTTTTTCTTCTTATTATTATTAAAATACAGTTCGCCTGGAGAATCCCTTGCGACCGAACATCTCGTTTGGAAAAAGTCTCTAGAGACACCCTCCACTGCACCAATGAGCGTCAAAAGAAATGCCGCAATTGTTTTGTTTCGTTCACAGAAATTCGGAACATCAAAACGTTCCAACCGAAGATCAACCACCTGGAAATTATCATTCAAATGCCTGTGCAGGTCAGCCGAGGGCCGTCCTACCGATTCGAGGAGGAAAACCCCAGATGTTCAATGAACGTCACTTTTTACAGCGAGACAACCCCACGTGACTTGAGCAACAACACTCAGTAAAGGAAAAACACTGAATTTGTAAGACATGTAGTGACGAGATTTGTTAGTCTACGTCATTAATGGGTGAACTAAATAACAGGGCTACACTTTACACCATGTTTTACATCCTAGTGTGCGTGCAACAGCTGGAGAAAGATTTGTTTCTCAGCTTGCAGAATAGAAATCACACGGAGCCAGGCACTCGGCAATGCAAGCTTCTGCAAGTGCACGACTGTGCCTTGAAGACCAAGGTGTCATATTTTTCAGTTAAAAGCTACAAGTCGTACATTTATTTATAGGCACCAGATATCGGGTTCAACTTCAGAGACCTTAATGGAAACATTCGGTATGGGGAGTGCAACGGTAACGGATAACCAGGGGCCAAATGTGTCCTCGGGCTGGCCTGCTCAACACATTTATCAATTCACACATCGATTTTCCTTCATAATACATTTAAATAATAATAAAACTCCCACCGTGTGCCATACACGAGCTCGTGTGAAGACCACTCGAACATATTGCTTTGTAACCGAGTTACCACAATATTTTCATGAAATAAAACGGATTGTCTCGCTGATATTAACTGCTTAAATGGAAAATATCCCCGACAGAATAAGCCAAAAATAGCAACTGGGTGAAACGTTGTAGGCGATGCAGAATTGGTTGCTTTGACAAATTGTTGACACACAGCCCAATGCGAATTCAAAGATATTGGCTCCGTAAGAAATGCACGGCTGGCATGCGGCACTGGACAGTGTTCTCCCCCACTTAAATAGCAAGCATAAAAACGCAAAGCTGTGCGCAGTGCACAAACCAATACAGTCTTGATTTGAAGCTTTCGTGACTGCAATACAGCTTCGACAAACCTCATGAATAACATCAGTCTTAAAATGGAAATATATATGGTGACTAACGTTTTAGACAATCAAGCTTTTTCAGGTTCACTGCGTTGGTCAGGTTGCAAAACAAACCACTCGGTTTCACGGAAGCTTTTACATTATTTGCCCCACCAAGCACACAAATTAAATGCAATGTTTACCCTGAAAAGCCCTCGATATGCTACTTAAGTGAGAACCCACCATGTTGTTGTCAATGGAACCTTCGAATCATTGCCGGTGACCAGGCCTGAGACCACCGCCTCGGGATCTCAACAGCGGTAACACGAGCACCGTCACAACGAGTTGTCAAGGCGTCTTTGAAACGTACCCCAGTGCGAACGAACGTGCGGCAGGAATGGCACTGCTGTTGCTGGCTGTCAAGCCTGTGTGCGAATGTTGCTTTTTTCTGGATAGCGGAGGCAAGATCTCACACACTGTTTGTGTGGCATGCACAATGTCTACCTTCACAGCGCCTTCATATCGCCTGGTTTAATAACGCTCCGAATGCGAGCAGCAGGCAATGGCGGTACGAGTGCCAACAAGGGCTGCCAATTCCAACCAATTAATATCAGATGCTTCTAAGCAACTTTACATTAAGCATTAGAAAAATAACCCCAATTTCCTATGCCAAGATGAGAAACACTCAAGGACAGGAACAAACAGACATCATCAGCAGCTTCTCTGAAATGTATTTGTGTCCGTTACCAAATGCTCGAAGATGACTCACAATATGTCTAAATTCACATCAATTAATGCATAGGACCAATTTGCGAAATAATGTATAAAATCAGTACCAGCTTGTCAAAAGCCATTATTCTACAAACTCAACTGCTAACCAGGATCAGTGATGGACACGTTTTAGCTCCTGCTGGATTCAAGCCTTCCCACATTACTACCGACGGCATCTCCTGCTTATATGCGAGCTAATCTCAGGCGTTCCCTCCTTTGGGGTTATTTTTCTTGTACCATCTTGTTTTCGGATAGTGTTGCTCGTAGTTGCAAAAGGGATTTGGTATTGTTTTCGTACACAGCAAACAGCATTAGGCCACTAAGGGTGCAGCTATTGAGGCAAGCCATGCCTCCACACATAGGGTGGCAATACAAAGCATGTTGTGAGCTGACATCACGTGCTGCCGCTGCCATCATGTTACAAAGGATTCATGAAAGAGAGAGCCGCTCAACAGACGTGAAAACCGTGCCAGTGGCAGCCAATTTAGAAAGGGCGTGGGCAGTTCTTGCAGATTATCATCGCAGGTCAACGGATGAAGATTACAATTTTTCTGTAAATAGAAATCGCTGCTTATGAAGAACGTGTTTTAGCCATACAATGATATATATTTATCTTGATATTGTATAGACTGCATGACCTCAATTGCTAGTTTGAGGTCATACAATTAAATGCATACCAACACTCATTCTACTTACGAAATCGTGTTCAAATTACACTCAATAGATGGTCCGACAGATTCTGAAATGGAATTAAACAGAGCCCCAATTCTCCTGCCTGGATAAATACATGTGGATCATCGACCATAGTACACAATCAGAGCCACTTGATTTAACACGCAAAACACACCCTTAGAAAACTCACCCCAACTAACATAACAGAAGAAACACAAGTCGCTTGTAATAACAACATATAATGGGTTTTCTTCATTGGAGTGCTGGCAAGTTCTTAATATAAATCACAAATAATGTTGGAAGAAACAGGGGGGCGTGTGCAGCGCACTCCGTCACGAACCCGGCGACCCGAGCGATAGTCTGAGCCCACGGCTAACATCAGTGGCGAGTGACACCTGGACCGGTCCTGGTTCGGACCCCCGCTTCACCGACCCGCATGAACCATCGTGTGGAGAGTGGCCAAATAACCACCACGGGGGAAGCCTTCATCCAGCAGCGGATTGACAAAGGTGTAAAATATTGCTGTTGCAATTTTAAACATTAGTTTAAAAGTGTTACATCTTTATTAATTACACTAGAGCAGATTAGATTAAATTAAATATTGGTATGCAAGATCATACATATTTGATGTGCGAATGGAATAACAATGCACTAAAAAGGCAAATTAAACAATTAAAGTGAACCGACCACGATGAAATTCATGAATTGCTACAAATATTTATATCTCTTGTATCACTGTCGATACTTAATATGCAGGTAACAAGTCCATTTGTATATATCGGGACATAAACCATCTATGCAATTCAAATATTAAGATCAAAATGAAACGTACATTTGATAAGACGCACATACTATAAGAGTATAGTGCCACTCACCCTGGATGTGGTTAAAGCAGCGCTGGAGAAACTGGATAGAAAGAACATCTCGACACAGAGGTGCGGAGGCAGCCAGCCAGACAGACAGACGGCAACACGCGACTGGTCCCTTCTGAGCTCACGGCAGAGTGCTCGCTCACGGACGCAGCGCTGCTTATCACAACACCACACCCCTCTCATACAACGCCACGTGGTGTGTGTGGCAGCAGCGTGCCCGCCAACAGCAGCAGTGCACGCAGCAGGGTTGTATCACGGAGGCGATCCACAAATCCAATGTCCACAATTTACGGACGGAAATTGAAGATAAATTCCAGAGCCTCATTTGCATGTTCCCAGCATCTTTTGCCTTGAATTAATGACACTCATTGACATCTTTCATTAAAATATTAACACAAAGAGAAGCATATGCGGTATGCAAAAGTGTACTCAAGTGGCATACACGCTTTCTGAATGAAGCTCTAATTTAATGCATTTATATACAAGACTCAAACTACTCCAGCTGCTCAGTTTCATTTTCTTGAATGTTCATTTCGGCCAGCTCAATTAACCTGTTGCACACTCCTCATTTACATGGAAGATCATTTGAATTGCATTGCATATATGAAGAGGGTGTCTAAATCGGCACGCAAAAGGTGGAGTTTATTGTTATTAAGCTCCGCATTATCCAGATTGTTATTTCATTGTGAGCTGCGCTGTCCGCAAGAAGGTAAACTGCAATGTTTCCCCCTTTGCCTCAATATACTGTCACAATGAATGGTTTTCCGCTTCCACTTGATTTGACGCGCTGTCAAATAAAGTGTGATGCAACCGAGGCCAACCTTGCAAACAGGACCGTGTTTGTCCGAGAGGGTTGTTTTCATGACAACGATAATCATAATTTCAACCGTCACGCAACGCGCAGTATTCACTCGCTCCCGAAGAAAGGAACGACGCAAAGGCGCAAACAATCACCGGTGGGAAAGCAGCGCCAGGACGGCCGGCACCAACATTTTCCCAATGCTCTGCAGTTCTCTACATATGTAAGGTTGTTATCGGCCCACGAATGCAA